CTGATTCAAGGTACACCGTATATCCATCTTGTCTCCTCAATACAAAAAAACAGAACCCATAATCAAGTGGGATTATAACAAGAGGCACAGGGGTCAAGATTTACAATATATACTTTGGGGGGCAGGGAAGCAGTTCATCTTTTTTTTTAATTATTAAATTTTATTAATTTTAATGAACATTTACAGAGACTTTGGCTTTACATTCATTCATTGTTATACTCAGTTCATCTCTTAGCAGTCAGCAAAGCAGTAAAGCAAGAATGTAAAGCTCCCACAGAATTCATTTCCAATTTGGGGGCACAAAACAGTCTCAGACTGCTGCATGAGGTCGTGAATTAGATCCTCAGAAACTAGAAAATTAACCAAAAAAAATCCTTGCATTTCTGGAACCAACTCACAGCAGATCCTCTAATGATCTTTGGAGGTTGTCAATCGTATGAGAGGAGGTAGATGAATTCGAACTGTAAGAGAGGCGGTTGGGTTTGAAGTGCAGCTCCCTAGGGAAAAGAGAAAATATGTCACTACTACTTTGGGCATGTTGCAATAAGGGACCGGTCCTTGGAGAGGGAGATCATGTTTGAGAAAGTGGAGGGGCAGAACAGGAAAGGAAGACCCTCGATGAGATGGATGGAGTCTGTGATTGGAGTGGTGGGAACGAGTGTGTCAGAGATGGTGAGGTTGGCACAGCATAGATAAGGGTTTAGGGCTCTTGTACATAGGGTCGCTATGAGTCGCAAGTGACTCAATGGCACATAACAACTACATCAAGGTTTTCAAACACTGGGGGGGGGGTGGCTATTCCACCTTCTGTCCCAAAAGCCAAGGCTCCTGGTGTTACTGAACGCAAGGGGTTCTTTTTGTAGTCAGTCACCAGAAAGACAAACGGACTGCAATAGACAGATCTGGGAGACAGTGAGTCACCTCACAGACTGCCTCTCCGTCTGGGAGTGGTCATGGCCTTATATACTAAGGTGAAACTCCAGCTCCTTTAACAATGCACTTTTGTTAGTAAGAAAAGGTTAATTTCTACACCTGAAAAGGACAGTTCCCATCTCCATATCACTAACTCAAAAAAGGCCCTGTTAGGTTAGTGGACTTAAAGAAGAAATCAGAAAGAGCGGGAGAAAACTTAATGCAGCTTTATTAAAAGGGGGGGGGAGGAGCTCCCGGGTGAGTCCCTCATCCTGGAGAGGAAGAATGGGAAGTCACATTCTGAACTTACTGGGGAGGATTTTTATAAACAGAGTCTTTAGGGAGGGACATTCCATTCTGATTTAAGAGCCACCTGCCAGCTCAGCTAGACAAACACGGCCACTAGCTCTTCTTAACAAAAGCAGACAAGGCCATCAGCATTTGAGTTCTGAATTCTTCATTCTTCTCTTTGGCCCCCTTTGCCCAGACTAATATGCCCCAGTTCTCTTCCTGGCAAACAGGTAGATTAACATACTGTTTACATATGACTGGAGAACCCAGCTTCACCAGCATCTAGGAGAGATGCATTTCCTCTTCTGGTAAACAGACAGATTAAACTACTCTACATGACTAAAAGGAGGAAACAGAGGATTCAGAGGCTAAGCAACTAGTTTTGCTGGCTGAAGAAAAAGAACTACAGTTTTATAACTGATACCTATAGAGAGAATTCTGAACTTATTAATACCACCCTATCACTGAGGCTCTGGGCATGGGACCGTCCTATAACACGATACTCAGTGCAATGCACGCGATACTCAGTGCAATGCACGCGATACTCAGTGCAATGCACACGATACTCAGTGCAATGCACACGATACTCACTCAGTGCAATGCACACGATACTCA